TGGCAAAGTAGTAAGTCAAGGACCCAGGTGTCATGGTGCCTGGTGTGCTCACCACTGAACAGTCCTGCTTCTGTCTCTGTAGCCCTTATGAGACAATAACAGATGAAGCTTCTACTGATGGTAAAAAGAGGTCCCTTTCTGTTTTATAATAGCCATAAAAATGACTTTTGCACTGCAAGATTTATTAGTGTAATGGTAGCATTAATTATAGACAGAATGGTGTATTTATTATGTTGAGTCTGGCTTTTTGGCAGATGTACAAATCAGCAACAGAACTCTGTTTTACACTCTGGCTGTTTTCTGCTCTCCAACAGATGTGCTGCATCTGCTGTTTCTCTGTGATAGGCTCAACTTCAGCAAGGGTTAAGGCTTTTCTTGTTAATTCTGTTGTGATGAAAGGTGTCAGCCAGGGAAACTGCCATCCCCAGTCATTCTCAAAAACAATCACAGGAAAAAGGAATGAACGTTTGCTAGCAAAGGTATTCATCCTTGGCTTAAAGAAAACCTGCCTCTAAGCTCCAGGTACAATATAGTCGAGGTATCTATACTGTATACAGAACACAGACCTGTACCCAGACCTAGATTTTTATCTTCTTTAGGCTCCACAAACCCAGGCATACATACGTTTTATTTGTCTTAGGTTAATGCACCCAGACGAGTGTACTGGGGCTTGAACTGGACTTATGCTTTTGTTAATATTGCCAGGTTGGACGTTTTTAACTTCTTTTGCTCATCCCACTGTTTCCCTGGAAGAAAACGGCGTTGTGAGTTCGCAAAGCCTGGACTTGCCCGCCTGTGCCTGAGGACCACAAGTTGTACTCATGAAGCACTGAAAGTGATGAAAAAATATCCGAGAGTGGGAAATTTCAGGGTCTGCTCTGCACGTTACTTCAGAAGTGGTACAAAATACTGCCCAAACAGCTACCTCCTGCAGTGTGCCAAGGGAAGTACTCAAGCAGACTAAGGGTGAGACAGACCTGTGTGCCAAGATGCACCTGGAGATGTCAGGAGAGACAGGTAGAGAAGTGCAGAAATGATGAGGAAAAAGGGAGCAGGATATTACTGCATGGCGCATGTTGTCGGGGCTAGACTCGGTCGGTGTTTCAGACACCTATACTAACTGGCTTTAGATTCCTGGATGTGCAAGTTCACATCAGCTCTCACATTGCCTGTGGTTGGTGTCAGTCATGGGGTTGCCCACATGTGTAATTATTCACAGATCTACAACGGTCAGGAGGTTGTAATGACCTGTTATGGTCTTTCATTTCATTTCTGTTATCAGAACATATCCTTATCCTAACCACTCTGTTCAGTGCAGGTGTCTCAAATATGTTAGCTAATGGGTTTGTCTTCTGCAGCGAGCATAAGATTTACTTTGGTCTGCATTATTTCATGGACTAAAACTACAGCTTGATAGATCCTTTCCCCTCTGCTAAATCATTAAATGAGCATCTTGGCGTGTGTAAAAGCACATGTTTCATTTCTGCTAGAACAGAAAAGGACATAAAGACAAAAAAGCACTAGCACAAACTGCTAATCTCAGTAAAGAAAAAATGGAAAGATTTTTGGACTGTCCAATTGTACGGAGGTCTTTGAAGCACATGGAGTAATAACGTGGATTTGTTTTTAAGAACTGGAAATGCACCGAGAATTTTATTCCATAAAAATGATTGTGTGAGGATTGAGATAACAAAAGCACTGAGTCCTTTCTCCTTGATATCAGGCAAATATTTACAGCTAGGCAAGAAAACTTACCATCTTCGAATGTCCTGCAGAGTGGATTTACTCTGCAGAGAATGGAAGGAGACTTTTATCTCCTCTTTCAGGGAGTCAAAAGAAATATGATTTCCTTCTATTTATTTGCTAGCACTGATGCATTACTATATATAAAACAAATAGCAGTGCCGTGTCACCGTTGCTCCAAACTCTGCTCTTTTCCTTGCAGCCTTCAGTAGCAGGACGCTGAGGACATCTCTCCGGGGCTCGCAGCTCGTGCGGCAGGAGGGAAGTGGGCGCTGGCCCAGGGGCACCGGGGCCGCAGGAGAGGCACCCGGGCCCGGGAGAGGCACCGGGGCTGCGTGAGGCTGCCCTGTCCTGCCTGGCACTGCCCAGGCCGTTTCAGCAGCCTCTCTCTTAGAGCTCTTCCTGCTGGTGACAACCCACCCACCCTCTGGGAAAGGGCAGCGAGTTTTGTCCAGAGACCTGTTTGCAGGGGGGAATGCAGCCCCCAGGACTGCTAGGAGCAGGAGCTTGTTAGGATCCCAGCGGTATTTATTTCAGTTTGTTGATTTGTAAAGCTCACATCAGTGGTATCAAGTGGCTAATTGCCAGCTTTGTGTCCCAGAGGAGCTGTGTGGCTTTACTTCTTTTTTCTTTCATTCTCTTTCTGTGAGCTGGGTTGCACTTCAGTCTCTTTGTCACTCCTCTGCTGTAGCTGTAATGTCACAGGAGGACAAAGCAGCACTATGGAAGGCTGTCTGTGTTTATTATAATTGTTACTATTTATTATCCTTCATTTCTTTTTAACTCTGCATTTACAGCCTCTACTTGGTCTGTGTTTATTTTTCGTTGTTTTCTTCTAAGTTTTCCATTTCAAATACCATATAGTAAGGCAAAGAAAGGGGGTAAGTCTGTTAGGTTGATAACTTGAGAAGAGATCTGAAAGCTGATGGAGTGAAAGATTCAGAAGTAACCAAATCCTGATTCTGAAAGTAATTGTATGAGATCTTTCCAGTGTTTGAATTATAATTGCCATTTAGCATTGCTGCAGAGTCTTTTTGCCTTGATTTCCTCAAGGCAGGGAAAGGGGAAGGCTAATATGCTTTTTCGTCCCTGGTTTGTTTTTAATGTTAACTGATCTCAATTTACCTTGAAAAAGGACCTAAAATCTTAGATGCAAGTTTTGTCAAAATAGTCAAATAGAGGGGAAGGGCCTGCGCTAGCATCGGAAGAAGGGAAGGGGAAGCTGCACGCGGAGCTCTGCGTTGTGCCGGTGGCATCTGGCCGGGAGCCCCTCAAGCTCCTGCTCCTGCCTCAAGGGCTTCGTTTGCCTAGAGGGGCAGAGAGCTGGGGTTGCTCATTTAGGGTGTCGGATGGCTCTGTCTCTCCCTTTTTTTTTTTTTTAATCTCTTTGCAGCAAGGAGATGTGATTTACTCTCCTGTGTGTCTTCTTCTCAATATGAGTGTAGAAGGGGAGGAAGTACTTAGAGCTACAAATGCCCTTGGGAGAGGACAGCAGTGGGGTCAGAGCAGCCCTGTAAATGCCACAGCAAATCAGATCGAGGAGCTGATGAGGCTGAAAACCTGGGAAGGTGGAAAGCGCTTCCTTCCCCAGCTCTGCTGCCTGAGGAGGGTCACAGCCCGGCTGGGGAGGACGGAGGAGAGCGAAGCTGCCGGGAAGGAGCTTGTTGGTTGCTGCAGAGAGGGCCAGCCACACACCTTTTCTGCCCCTTTTTGTCACATGCAGCCATTTGCTGTTCATTTAGGCGCACAGTGAGTCGGATGAGGAAATTGAGCCAGTGGAAAACTGTTCTTTGCTTTCATTTTTTGCTAGATCAGTTCTTATTTTGATTGAGTTTCTTGGTGCAGCTAAAAGTGCTGCCAGGGAAGCCGGAAGGGCACGAAAAGAGGAAGGACGGAAGCACGAGCCTGGGAGCCATGGCAAGGGGGGATGGGATGGCTCCTTTCAGCATACGCTTTAATTCACATGTGATTCAGGGGATCTTTTATTACATTTTGCCTGTTCTAAACTGTCTTATTTGACTTGGCTGTTGATATCCAAAATCCCTCCTTATACCTGACCTGGCAACTCATATTAGCATCTCTGGTTTCCTCTCTGCGCAGTGATGTGGTTCAAGCAACAAATCCAAGTGGAAAATGACTTCCCCCTCCCCATAGCATGCCCTGCCCCAAAGTTCCCCTGCTGCCCTGTCACCTTCCCTACATGATTTTTAAAAAATCTGTAATCATTGACGTGCTGCTTTTGGGAGCAGAGTTGATTTATGCCTTTATATTTTTAAAATAAAAAGGAACTCAGTGAGCTCAGCTTGCTGAAAGTAAAGCTGAGGCTCTTGCTCTGCCTGGGTGAGCTGGGCAGTTTCTGGGAAGCAGCAGCTCTATGTGGTGCTCCCGGCAGTCACCTGCGGCAGCAGTGAGGGAAAGGTCCGGCAGCCATGTGAAAGGGAGCTGTGCTCTGTCCCCTCTTGCCCTACAACTTCATCCAAGCTGGGGGTCAAGATATGTTTGGGTTTTCTTTGCACTCGTCTTCTATGGGTGCTCATGTGTGTGACCTGTATTTACAGCAGTGTTGAGAGTGTTGCAACATCGCCGGGTGAGACTGGACTACTATTTTGGGACCCAAACTAGAACTGTTTTCAGTCAGTCCAAATGCTTGCAGATGCAGAGGATAAAGCAGAACCGATACTGATCTGGAATCCTAACACCTTTCAGCTGATGCTTTCGCAGTGGAGGAGCTGCACGGGCATCTTTGGGGGAGTTTTTTTGCTAACGTCTGACTATTACCTGGCAGCAGGAAAAGAAGCTAAAAAAAACCCCCAAAACAGAATATCTTGTTGCTTCAGGTGTCATTCCAGGAAAATGCTGATGCTGATATTTGAATTTTCTTTTTCTTTTGCATAATGCAATGCAGCGTATGCAAAAGACTCTCTGCTCCCCCTCTCTACTGCTTCTGCAAGCTCAGTTGATGCTGTATGCGTTAAAATTGACAGAAACGACTGGGAATGCCAAATTTGGAAAAAAAAAAATCATCATTGCATAGCATTGTCTTCAGTCTTTATAGACTTGCTGGCCAGAATATCCAAATAAAATCTCAGTGCTATCAAGGAAAATGAATTTATATGAATTTATATGATGAAGGTATATTAAATAGAAAATGAAATACTGCTATCTTGTTGTTTGTAATCACTACTTTTGGAAACATATTTTAACAGTTTGTGGTTGTTCCATTCACTGATACATACATTTTTTTTCCCTTTGATCAGAAAAAGCCACTGTCTTCAATCATAAAAGAAGTCTGTGATGGGTAAGTTCTGTTGTACAGTAGGTATTAGATACTCTAATTTGAGTTATTAAACGAGCTGTTTAATAACCAGCTGGGGGATAATGCTTATTCTAAAGAAAATGTAAATCTCCTTAATGACTAGTGATTAGCTTCCTAAATCATACCATTGTTTTATCTTCAAATTTTTATTTTGAGTGCGTGAGTTGCTTACAAGATGGAGGTCCTGAAAGCAGCATCTCTGTTATATGTGAATAGTTCACTTAAGACTTTTTGCTGCACAGAGATGGGTTTTATTCTGTGCAGAGATGAGATTTATGCACTCACTTTGTCCTTGTGGTGCCTGTAGTTCATAGGTTAAGAAACCTCTGCAGTGACTGGTGCTACGATTTCTAGGTCCTGGGCCCAGCAAATGTTGTAGGTAGGTCCAGTTCATGTGACTGCTGACATGGAACTGAAATGACAAACACAAGTCCTGCCCTCAACACAAACTAGTAATTGCCCAACAAAATTATCTTGCCTTAAATTAAATATGTTAATATTTGCAAATTAATGCCCTTTTAAAAGAGCGCTATCACAGAAGAGAAACTAGTTCATGTCCTTCAATTAGAGCTGAATTAGGTGCTATTTTATGAGTCACAATGTTAAATTCATGTTACGATCACGTTATGATTTTATTACCTAAGTTAGCATAGAATCTCAATACTGTAAGTGAATGCTATGTGTTTCAGTGATTTAATAACCTTGCTTGTTGCAAGCAAAAATTATAGCTGCTGGTTTTTTTCAGATCTGGAGCTAATATGGTAAGGAACTTTTTTTTTTTTTTGGTCTGGAGCACTGAAATACTCAAGTATTATTTTAATACTCAAGCATTTGAAAAAAAAATAAAGCTTTGTCTTAGAAGAAATGTATTTATGTTGTTTAGTTCTTGCTGGCCAGGGACAAATTTAGGAATTTCAGTTACAGATATGGAAATGGGAAAGTATCTTTTTTATATACTGTATCTATGCTTACATCTATCTTTTATCAGCATGCTTTTTGGTTTCTTCTTTAAACTCTGGAGCTCATTGCAACCCGTGCTTCAGCATATAAATAGATAAATATATATGCAACTCATGGATGTGGCACACACTTATTTGATCTTAGTAAAGACCAGCTATGCAAAGGATGTAGGAATTATTATTATTATTTTAATATTTCATTTTGTGATTTTTATTTTATTTTTGTATTTCCAAGGTGGTCTCTTGCAAATCATGATCAATATGCACTGCAGCATGCTGATAGTTCCAATTTCTACATCACAGAAAAGGTAGGTAAATCATTCAGCATGACACTTGCACAGTCTATCAGAGCGTGCTTGCCACAATTATTTAAGTTAACGTATATAAAATATTGCTGTCTTTTTACAGTACTAAACCAGCCAGATTGAAATGAATCATCTTTACATCATTTTTATCTGAACTCCATATGGAAGCATTGTGATAAAGTAATTGCACTTGCCAAAGTGCAGTTGAAATATCAGAGTGCTATTCTCTCTCTCTCTAATAAGTAATTTAGAGAAATTCATTTAAAATTTAAAGTTACTTCATTGCCAGGGAAATCTGTGGAAAATCCAAAGGCTGCAAAATCAATACAGATTTTAGTTCATTGCAAAATAAGCTCTCGTAATGTAGAGGCTAATCCTTCTAGCACCTAATACTGAAGTTGTACGGTCAGTGCTAAATAACATTGCCTGTAGTGTAAGCCGCCGTCTTCGTTAATAGTAGCAATAATGCTGTTCCTACAGATCTGCCACTGAGCTATGCTTATATTTAACTGTACTGCTGATACGTTTTTTTTTCATAGTAGGATTTAAGATTTTTACATGGAATTGAAAGTTCTAGTGTTACTATTATCCTAAATGGGCTGACCTAAAGTACTGCAGTGCAGATACTCAATCTTTATAGCTGGGACCAAATTAATTTAAAGTATAAGTAATATTATCTCTCAATTAACTCTTTCTTTATTACAATCTGTGGAAAATACTCCATACTTTTGTAATGTGATGCTGATGGGACAGTAGGTATAGGGGACCTGGAACTGGTAAAAATGCAAAGTTGAAGAGTGTGAGACAAAATTGTAAATTCAGTCTTCCATTGTACTGCATAATGGCAGTAATGGACTTGGACTTCATAATGTTTACAGATCTTTTATGTTTAGCATCAGCAAGGGTGAAGAAGTTAGCAGTACTGAGGTTAAGAAAAGTCTGGTTCTTAACAATGACTTGTTTGGCTTTTAAAGAGTATTTTGTTTTGTTCTGAAAGGCAAAACTAAAGTTTGAAAATGTCAAGGCTGTCATGTCTGTTCGGTTTGATCAGACTTCTGCCCTTCGGCTCTGGTATTTGTGCCTGTTTAATATTCTGCTGAAAAGTGGTGTCCCGGATATTAAAATATGTAAAACATGAAAGACTCATTGATGTTTGAAGAGAACTTTAGTGCACTGTCACTTCCCGCCTTGGCTGATGAAGCAGAAGAGTTTCAAGGACTGCATAAGTTTTGCTGCTCCTTCCTTCCTGCTGTCTTGTCCTTCTCCAGTTATGTGTGCTATGCTGGTTTATATTTTGCTGTCCCCAGACAGCATTGGCAATTGGTGATTCACAAAATGATGCAATGATTTCAGCCCAGAAAGTAATGAAAAAGACTGCAGCTGTAATAAAAATGGAATGTGTAGTCTGAATGGGACATGCTCATCTGAATAAGATCAAGAAATACATTCATTCCTAGCATTACTGCTCAAATCACTAGGACTACAACAAAGATTAATTTGTTTGGAGGGCTGTACGATTTAAGGCTGCAGAGGTACCTTTGTAATCAACTAAAAAGAGTGTGATTTAAAACCTGCTGAAATCAGCATGAAAATGCCCTAACCACAGTGGATTTTGACTAAACAGACCTGCAGTTAGCTGCCCAGAAGTAGATGCCTCTTGTTACTGTCTTGTTGATACCAGTGTTAGTTTTGGCTTAAGCGGAGGAGTCTTCGTGTGTGTGTTTGTGTGTGTGTGTGTGTGTGTGTTGTGTGTTCTTTTTTTCCAGAACATTTGTTTAGAAGTTGTTTAGCTGTTTAGAAATGAAAGTTCAGCTGAGACATGAATTAACTTTTCTCTTGCTGTAGTTCTTATCCCCAACATAAAGGGAACTTAGACATAGTGAAGCATTTAGAATGACTAAGTTTAACAAGACAGCTAGAATGGTTGCTTATATTATAAATATATATATATTTAATACATCAGTTTCGTTTTTTCATTTTACTATTTGTTAACCCAGACAGCTCTCTCAAAGTGTCAGAATCTATTTCAGGATCTTTCTTTTTTCCATTGTGTTTTTTCTTCCTTTCTTTTCAAGTTTCAATTGACAGACACTTCAAAGGCCACCACAAGGCAAGCTGTTGAAGTAATTATTGGCTGCTGTGTTTTTCCTCCACCCAAATTTAAAGAGTGAGACTGCTTTGCTAATTGCCCTGAATTGTGACACAACATTTTCCAATAAGTTAGAGACAATTGATCTTGTCTCTTGGCTTTTAAACTCAAATTGTCCAGTGACTGTTTCCAAGAATCCAAGCTTGAGCAAATATTCTGGCTTGTTGAAGGAATGTGTCCCGATATATTTGGAGGAGCTTTTCAGACTTTTCCTCCACCTTTGGTGGGTAAGACCCTGCAGTTTTGGAGAAAATTGGCACTTTCTGCTCTGCTTCAAAGGATGGTCTTCTAGAACATTTTGGATTGTGCTGCAGAGAGGACTTTGAGTTTGTTTATTCCCTGATGAAAATATGTAGAGTGTCTGACTCTGAGTCACATAAATAAGAGAGGAGCTCTAAATGCCACCAGTATTACTCAGATGTCTGTGACTCTTAGTAGATGTTGTTCACAGTTTATCACTGCTTGTTGAATGGAGGCTATAAAGAGAGGCCCATATAGGTCATCACCCCTTCTACATGCGTTTCTCCACTGTCTACTAAGATGTTGCTGCTTTCTGAATTAAAGCATGAAAATACCAGGGATGAGGACAAACACGTACACTTCAAAGAAGCCAGAGCGCTAATGATTAGATCGTTAAAGTGCACATTGCTTTAAGCTGCTCTAATCTAGGAGATGAGCAGAGCCCTTTTGCTACAGTGACAGCTGTGAATATTTTTCAGTCATTTCAAGGTGTATTCTGGGTGCTTGCTGACTTTTGGCCTTCCAGGTATAGATGCCTTTTAAAAACATTGCTATGTTTCCTAGAAAGAAAAGCAGTTAGTGAAATCCTGTAACTGGTAAAGAGACTTTGATGCGAAAATGTTACAAATGTGAGACTGTCAACACATGGCTTACAATTACTTTTTCATTTTTGGGTGGCAAACAGCGCATCTGTGTTTTGGTTGTCATATGCAGAACTCTTATCTTTTGTAGCTGACCTATATTTCCTGATGATACCATAAGCATACCATAAATAAATGAAAATAACGCCCAGGCAGATCTGTCTCCACTATTTTTTTTTTTTGTCTGACCATATTATTTGGAAAAGTGCCTCTACAGGAGCAGCAGCAATTCCTTCAGGCAGTGTAACTTTAGCAAGTGCGAGTGAGCTGGCATGCCTACTAGAGATGGGACTCATCATAAGAGAGGTATCCCAGGCTGCTCCATCTTCGCTTGTTTGGCTCTATCTGTGCCTGAGAAAAATGCAGTGGGAATTTCTAATTATGTATGTTGACAGTTATTGTTAAAAAGAGGAGAAATAAAAAAAGAAAAAGTTAAAGCCAAAAAACCAACTAGGCATAATACCTAAGCTTAAGCCTGTGTTTTAAAATCATTTTAAAATCATAATCTCTTTGATTTTAATTGTATTATTATGCACATGTTTTAAAAGCCTTAGTTATTAATGGAGAGGTATTTCCTGCTAGTTTAAGCATGTGAAAGCCTGACTCTTGAGTGAGGATCTCATTGTGTGAGGTAGTTTGCAGTGGAGACAGAAGAAGTCATTTCTGCTTCATTCGGTTCAGGTTGTAGCTGAATAGACTCTAGTGTAAATGGGGTATAATAAATCTAAAGCCTGGACAAATGCAGGCTAGTACAGAAAAATGGCTATCTGGAGAACAACAACAGAAAAATGGCTCTACAATTATATGTGCTGTGTTGTGCCGCTGAGGTGATGACCACAGCTTGGGTATCTCTGTGCTGCTGCTGCTGCGTAATCTGGCTCCTGCAGATCCAGTGCATTGTGTCTGCACCGCCCACCACGGGGTTTCAGTCTGAAAGGGCTTGTTATTAACTCAAGATTGGGCTCCTAATGCAAAATGATGGTGGAAGGGAGCTGAGTCATGTCCAGTTTATAGCACAGCCTCAGATTTTATTTATTTATTATCACATCTGAAGGGGTGATAAAGTGTAGTGCAGGGGGTGGGAGCAGTGAGGAGTGGGAGATGACAACCTTGGGGCTGGCTTTGCTCCTGTGCCCAGTGTGTGGAGACTCAGCCTTGCATCTCCCAGGGCAGGCTCTGGGGAATAAGTGTTTAGTTTGCCCTTGTGGAGGGGCTTTGTGAGGCAGCCCCAAGCCGTGTTCAGCACAATAATGGCACTGGTGCCATTTCATACATTGTCTTTGGAATGCAAGGACATGTCATTCTTTCACTTATTGACTGTGGTCCATTCTTATTCAGTCACAATTTCATTGTCTTGAGTTTTTTTTTTTTTTTTTAATCTGATGGCTCTGAGGACTACGTTTATTCCTTCTTTCCTACCACCCACATTTCCCTTTCATTCTAATGTGCTTAGTGCATGAAATGGAATAAAAGAGACACTGAGTTCCCTCCATTTATTTGGAGAGTTTTGTACTGTTTGCAAATGGAGCTGCCCCCACTTTGCTTTCATTGCCACTGTTCAGCTGTCCATTGTGCTTGTGGATGGGATGTCCTTCTACCCTTCCCTTGTGCCTGCCTGGAGTCACTCAGGTTCCTTCACTCTCAAAGGTGCTTTTACTTGTGACCTATTTCTGGTTGAATACAGCCTGTAATTGTATATTCATGTGAAATTCCCACTGTATGCTCCCTGTGTGGGAGTGTGTGCCAGTGGCAGGACAAGAAGTGAAGTGCTTGTAGTGTTGGCTTTGTGTGTTTGTTTTTTGAACTATTTTCTTTCATGTTCTTAGTATTCATTTGCTTTCACTGATTGATCGAATTTCAATGAGTTGGAAGGAAATGTTCTGAACAGGGGAGGTTTCTGATTCAGGGAAGTACCTGGCTCTTTCTAAGCAGCTGAGAATAGGGGCTAAAGCATTAAAGTTGGGAGTGGCAGT